CTTTCTTTACTTACACATACACACACACACACACACACACACACACACACACCTACCCTAACCACTTTATCCAGGAGTTTAAGAATAGAATTCACACAGGAATTAAATCTCTGTGTGGGATATATCCAAAGGAGACAAAGAATATACAAATTAAGATAACATCGCATTTGTATCAGTCAAAAACTGGGCATAATACACTTTCTTACTCCAGTCTTTAATTCCACAGCCATGAAATGTGCTTACAGACTTGTAAGGAGTATTTGTCAGATAAAACGTTTTTTCTTAAATCCATTTCCATATCCATTCTATGTCTTAAAGCTTTTTACTTCCACACCCTTAAAATCCTATTCCAGTCCCTTTCCCAGTTACCATCTTGGCAGGTTGCAATTAAAATAAATAGTAATCCTTGGGTCATCAGGATCCACAGAATAGCAAGGTTCTCTCAATGGTATGCAGTGCATTAAACAGTACATATACTGGAGTGGGAAGTTTGTCCAGTAGAGTACATCCCTTGTATCCTACAAGAGTGTTCTTGGGAACAAAGTATTTCTGTATTTCAGTAAGAGGTTACTGAAATACAGAAGAACAGTGTTTTTCAAACTTTTTTTCTGGTGACCCAGTTGAAGAAAATTGTTAATGCCCATGACACAACAGAGCTGGGAATGAGGGGTTTGGGGTATGGGAGGGGCTCAAGGCTGGGGCAGAGGGTTGGGGTGAGGGCTGCGGGGTGGGGCTGGGAATGAGTGGTTCAGGGTGTGGGAGGAGGCTCTGGGCTGGGTCAGGGGGTCAGGGCTTTGGGGTGGGGCCAGCGATGAGGGGTTTGGGGTCCAGGAGGGGGCTCAGGGCTGGGGCAGGGGATTGGAGTGCGAGTTGGGGCGTGGGCTTACCTCGGGCAGCTCCCAGGCAGTGGTGCAGCTAAGGCAGGCTTCCTGCCTATCTTGGCACCGCGACCGCGCTGTGCCCTGGAAACGGCCAGCAGCAGGTCCAGTTCCTAGGTGGAGGCGCGTAAGTGGCTCCACGCAGCTCTCTCCCAATGGGAGTGCGGAGCTGGTGCTCAGGGCAGGGGCAGCACGCAGAGCCCCGTGACCCCCCGCCTAGTTGCCGGATCTGCTGCTGGTCGCTTCCGGGGCACAGCACAGTGTCAAAACAGGTAGGAAACTAGCCTGCCTTAGCTGGGCAGCACCGCCGACTGGATTTTTAATAGCCCGGTCGGCAGTGCGGACCAAAGCCACTGTGACCCAGTGCCTTTCATTCTGTGACCCAGTACTGGGTTGTGACCTACAGTTTGAAAACCACTGAAGTAGAGGGTTCAAGTGTAACTGTGAGCAAAGATGTACAGTGTTACCATAACACAGCAACTTAACAGAACAGATTCTGTTACACATTCTAGGTTTACTCTTAAACTTGCATGGCAGTTTGGGGCCAGATGTTAAGCAACTTGTTTCCACTAGATCACATGGAATAAAAGCCCAATTTTCAAAACACTGGACACAGAAGGAAAGACTAATCAGTCCTACATGCCAGCAACATCTCTGCTCACTTTTCTTGGAAGTCTAGCTTTTTTTTTTTAAAACTTAAAGAAACAATAGAACATGAGCATGAAAGTGAAAATTGCTACTTTGTAATTAAATAGTAGTCAGACTTCATTTCATACTTACAAAAATGCAAAGCATCTGGGAGATACAGATGTACAGAAGCCGTAACAAGTTTTAGGAAAACCAAAGAAAAAAGTGAAAAGTAGAATTACAAAAATGAGTAACAGGTAGTAATGCAGAACACTAAAATAATTTCAACTAATTACTGGTTCAGAAAAGTGGTGTTGTTGTAGCCATGTTGGTCTTGGGATATTAGAGAGTTCAGGTGGGTGAGGTAATATTTTTTTATTGGACCAACTTCGGTTGGTGAGAGAGACAAGCTTTTGAGCTACATAGAGTTCTTCTCCAAACTTGAAGAGGGGCTCTGTGTAGCTCAAAAGCCACCAACAGAAGTTGGTCCAATAAAAAAATATTACCTCACCCACCCTGGTTCATGCACGCAACAGATATGGACAAATACTTCATCCCACTACTAAATATGGAAAAAAATCAAACTGGGAAAAATCAAGGGGCTCTCATTTGGATTACAGCTGCAGAGTTAGCAAACGAGGGATGTATCATGCTATGATAACATTTACATTGAATGTCAGCCAAAATAGACAGAAGCCAAGATGTTAAAAAATGGATGCCTAAGGTTAGGAGCCTGAAACCATGTTTAAGCTCCTAAATAAATGGCTTGATTTTCAAAAGTGCTGAGGACCCTGCAGCTCCCGTTTACTTCACTGGGAACTGCTGGCTCCTCAGAACTTGAAAAATCAGACCACTTATTTAAAAAGCGTAACTTCATGCATGCATATTTGAAATTCTTGGTCAATGTTCCAATGACAGAGGGAGAATGGATGAAAACAGTCAACAACATGGTGAAGCAGTCAGTCCTTTCCTCCTATGGTCCTCTAGGCATGCTTAAATTTGGCACTGCAGATTTTAACAAGGATGCTTTGGACTATACTCCCCCTATGTTATTTGCCCTGCTCCTAAGGGCTATGTCACAACTTCCAGACCTACTTTGGGTACTCGTGGTTATGGTCTTGAAGCATGGTACTATAGGATGCTACACTTCTGAAAGCAGTTCTTTAAGAAATGACACTAGCATTGGAAATAACCTGCCTATGTGCACGCAAGATACACAGGGTTGGAAATTTAAACTTTTCTTGACAGGGCAGGTTGGCATAAAGATAAAATTCTAACTCATCTCTCTTTCTAAAGTCTATAGAACTTTCTCCCCTCCAAAAGCTTTTTGTAACAAATAAGATACCTACATAAAGTAATATTTTGCATATCTATCAAGATCTCAGTGTGAATGCTGTGCAGAAATGGGAATAGAGCTTTTCACCAGTATATTACTTATTCAAAAATCCAGATCTGGTAGTGAGTCAGGGTTACCACCATCTCACAGAAACTCAGTACCTTGTGTGATATGAGTCTCACTCCAGTTCCCAAAGGACAAGGGGAGCCTTTCCTCACAATTCACCCACAAATAACAGCCTTGCTGGCAGTCTCATCAGAAAAGCCACATAGTAACTGATTATGGAAAATTAACTATTTTTAATTCTCACCCTTCTAAGTGGCCCCTTCCTGGTCAGATTTGAGGCATGTTGGCAGGCAGTATGAGGAAATCTGCACTGCTGCTGCCCAAACTGTTTCTGTTCTGTGGAGAGACAGAGAACTTCAGTCTCATAGACTGTCAGTCATCAGCTTTACAATAATTAATTTGCAGACAGAACTTTGTTAACCCAGAGTTAAGGTTCAGCAGAAACAACACTAACCTTTTTGAAAATGTTCTTAAAAGATTTTCACTCTTTTAAAAGTAAAAAAGAAAAAACCCTGAATTTTAGTAGCTCTGGAAACCAAAAATTAACATTGCACTTTAAAATTAACAATCTAAGAACTAGAGATGTAAAATCCATCATTGTCCATCAAGAATACACAATTTCATTTAATCAGTAACATAACTAAGCACACTTTGTGCTAGAATACCTTACTCTCAGTAAAAAAAAAAAAGGTGCGAGAACCAGCCATCTCTCTAGTGACTACTCAACTAAGGCAGCCATGAAGAGAACTTATTCCACCTGTGGTTAGGAAAAAAATCCAGGGATCCTGAAAAGTACTTTAGTTGAATGATCTTGGGTCTTGTCTACAGACTAGAAATACTCTACAACAGAAGAATAGTGTACTGTACTAAAAAGCCACTTCTAGCCAAGCCACTTCCATTTCCGAGCTTCAAAACTGAAAACATCGGAAATACACAGACTTGTGGGCTGTCTACACAGACCAGTTTAAGTAAAGGGCGTGATTTTAAACCATTGCAAAATCCTGTGTAGATACTTGTTTTGAAGAATTTCATCTCAGTTTAGCTTAAGTTAATTCCTTTCTGACTTAAGATAAAAGGAAATAAAGCATTATTAAAATATAATTGTCTATACACGATTTTGCATTAGTTTCACTAAAGCTTTTTTTTTTAAATGATTTCAGTTAAACAAGTGCAACTTTCTCATGTAGACCAATTAATAGAATCAGTATTTTTTCATTTTTAATTTGAGTATGACATGATCTGTGAGATTGTTACAGTTCAAGGCTTGATCTCATAATTATTCTGTGTTGAGGCTCCTGGACTTCAAATGGGAGTTTTGTATGGAAAAGGAAACTAACTAGAGAACTAACATGATGGCTCAAATACATTTCACTTGGGCTATCTTTTGGAGACAATAAATGTGATGATTTCACTATAAAGTATTGTCCCACATTAATTATTAATCTGATTATTGTTGCATCACATTAAGTTTAATAAACAAATAATGCTAATTTTAAAACTCCCAGACACACTCTTTGCCATTTTATTTTTCTACAGTTTCTTCCATGTCAAAATGCTCCTTAATTTAGTGATAGTTAAAACCATGGAAAACCACCGAACAAGGACTAGACTGCATGCAAGCCTGGGCAGTTGCAGGGACATGTGGGCAAAGGGGTTTCCCACTGGTCTGATAAACGCAGGGGCAAGGGATTGATTGGATCACAGGTGTGTGTCTGTGTGTGCGAGACACAAGCACTGGAAGCACCTCAGAATGAGACAGAGAAGGCAGTAAGGAAGCCCCAGAGCAGCACTTGCAGCACGTCCCTGAGAAAAAGCTAAGAGAGCTTTGGAGAAGAGTGCGATCTGGACAAAAGCTTGGAACTGGGAGCAAAGAAACTGTATCCTGTTTGATTTCTTAGGGTTACCATATCTCATAAATAAAAAAAGAGGACCCTCCACGGGCCCTGGCCCCGCCCATTTCCCCA